TTGTTTCTTTGTGGATTTAATTGTTTTTCCTCTTTTGGTGTGTTGGTATGCCTGACACCTGACAAAAAGCACATCCTTTATAAAGCTTTTGGTACAGTTAAGAGGCAAAGACTGATAAGAGAAAAGTCTTGGATGAGGCAAGCAGAAGACACAGATGTGTAGGCTTGAAAACATTGGGCAAGGAAAGGAGGAAGTCAAGGTATCAGAGCCACAATCAGACCTATGTAGGGTTTTCATCACACTGGGCCAGTAGTTCATGGATTGGTCAGCAGACATTGCATAATCAGAAATTCAGGAAACTGATTCAGGACACTTCGCACCCACTCTAGTTTGAGAATGGAGGTGGAGGCAGTCACGTCAGCTTCCTGCTGGCTTAAGAGTCTGCACATGTATTATGGGTAATAATAGACTCACAAAACATGCTGCAAAAGCTGGAGAAAGGCATGTGTCATAAAGAGTGGCAAGCATTTCTTCAGAGTGTTATTTGGATCTCTTCTACTGGGCATGTGGATGTGTTATGAAAGGAACAGACAGATTGGCTGATGCTGCACTACTGGATGGTGAATTGATGCTTTTTTATTTTGAGCATCCCATTTTCCACAGGCGGCACAAATGCTATTTTCTTTGGTTTAAAATTTGATCATTATTGTGTGTGGTGGTTGCCAGAGTTTGTTGATTTACTGATAAAAATGTATTATTCATTATACTATCCCCAGTTTCATACCAAGAATCCTCTGATGTATCCAGTTGTGTTTCTTGGGGCACATATACCCCACTTTGAGAGCCTCTGCTGTATCTTGAGGTGATACAGGTATAATTTGGTAACACAACAAAGAACTTTATCAGCCATCCAGATCCAGAACTGTACATCAAGTTATGTGAATTCAGGTAAATTATGTGTTACAGATGTTTCATAGATTTTTATTATTGCTTAGTTGTGTCTGCACCAGTGACTAGTCTTCAAGATTTCTTTTTCTTATTTGTTTGCTGATGAAAAAGCAGTTGGCAAATTGTGCTGTGATTTACAGATAGGCTATAGTATCTGTGTCTTTTTGCTCAGTATGTCTGACTTCAGCTAACCCTTAATTAGTTGCTTTTACATCATGCTTGTTACACGAACAGTGGGTCTATATTTTTTCCTCCCTTATAATCGGATCCTAGAATGGTTCCTAATGGTTAATGAGCTGTTTCTGTTGCACCGAGTCCAACTCATTCTTTCTAACTTCTAGCTTGTTGTCCACTAAGGACCCTAGGCCAGTACTTACTTACTTACTACTACTTACTTACTTAGTCGCTCCTCTTCTACCTTGGGGTGTAGAGGTTTGCCAGAGAGATCGCCAGACGTCTCTATCAGCAGTTTTCTTTCTGGCTTTGTTCCATTCCAGTCCTCTGTCAGTTAGGGACTGTCGGATGTTGTCTTCCCAGCGCACCCTGGGTCGTCCCGGAGGTCTGGTTCCCTGGTTCTTAGCCTCCCATGCTTGCCATGGTGGCCGATTTTCTCCCATTCTGCATACATGTCCAAATCATCGTAACTGTGACTGATCTACTCGGGTTACTAAGGGCTGGGTATCAAGATCTTGACGTATTGTCTGACTTGTCCCTTCTTGTCACTTGGACCACCTTTCTCAGGTATCTCATTTCCGAGGCCTGCAGCTGGCTTCTGTGAGCTGTTGTCATTGCCCATGACTCACACCCATAGGTCAGGACTGGTACATAGGTAGAGCGGTAAACAGCCATTTTCAAATACAGAACAAATATCAGAATTCACAGATAAACAAACACATCTTACAGTCATCCGAGACAAGATTTAGTTCTTGACAAAATTTATTGGATGCAAACAGCATTTATTCTTGTAGCATATAAGTGGCATGTAATATATATCAAACAACACACTAAAAAATAGAAAGTAACACAGCCTACTTACACAATTTTTTTCTGATACTGACGTTTAGGTATAAAGGTTATAAACATGGTTGGCAATGCTGAAATAACCTTAGTTCACTTTAGCCATAGGCTGTTTAGCAGCAGACCTTGCTGCATTGATTTTGATAGTGATATGGAGCATCAGGCTCCCAGAGAGCAGTGGTAAACTACTGAACTGAAAATCACTTAGTATAACTACAAATAGCCGGAGAACATTTATGTTTGTTCCCTCGCTGCTGCTACCTCTGGTTTAACCACCTCTGCAACTTCAGGAATCACATTATGGAAATCATACCTACAAGAAAAATCCAAGACACAGCTTCGGCATCCAAAGTAAAATGTAAATTGTATTTTCAAAGGGGTTTGGAATTGGGCACGCAGGCCCATATTACATTCTGCCCTTTAGGTTTGACTCTTTTCCTAAATTATTCCATTCATAAATCATATAACAGATTCTTCTTCTTCTTTTTCTTTCATTGGCTTGAAATATATTATCTATATCTGTAAAGTTCTCTGTAGTATAAACTTCACAGTCTTTTGTAATTTACTCAGCGACCCGTAATGTTTGACTTGTATCAGTGTTTCTGCAGGCCAAAAGTTTTGCCTTGATTTGTTGTTTTGTATAGTCTTGGAGGACATGTGTACATGTCTGATTCGCCGATTTTAAATTTTGTGAACATGTGGCTGAAAAGCCGATTGTGTCATGTTCTAAGGCATAGAATAATAACTGGCTCTGGTCTGTCCATAATATGGTAATCATCTTGTGTCGGTTTTGGTGGCTTTCTGATTGATTTGATTATTCTCTTCTTCTGTTGATAAGAGACTGGTATGTTAGGTTATTCTTTTTTTGCACCTTCCTTGGCTAGTTTATCAGCTCTTTCATTTCCTGGAACTCCGCGGTGGGATGGTATCCATTGCATAGTTACCTTACACTCGTTGCCTAGTTTCGAGAGTAGTGTACGTATACCAGGCAATTTCCCAGATTGCAGTGCCTGAAGTACAGCTCTTGCATCTGTTAGGAATATCACTGGTTGTGAAATGTGATGTATATTTAAACAGTTTTTCTACTGAAATTTTGATGGCTTGAACTTTTGCATCATAGTTGTGACAGTGCTTTCCTGTAGGTATTTTTGGCTGTATTTCTGGTATTATTTGGATGCTCAATATACACTCCTGCTACTCCATTTCTGCTTACATTTTGTGCTGACCCAGCTGTATAAACGCGAATCCAAAGATTCTACAGGTATTCATCATCGAGTAGACCGAGGGTGGCTATTTTACCTTGCACAAAGTTTTGTTCTTCCTTGTCAAATACTCCTTTCACTTCTGTCTGGATGTTTATTGGCAACTTATAATCCTCTTTCCAACAGGTAATAATAAAGCAGTGATAATCATGACTCCAGTGGACCAAGAGGTAAAAAAAAGATGCTGGTGTTGGATAGGGCACACATTAAGAAAACGTGAGAAGAGCATAACTAGAATAACTTTTCATTGGAACCCACAGGGGCATAGGAATAAAGGAAGGCCCAAAAAACACACGGAGAAGAGAGCTGGAGAATGAAGTTAGAAAGATAGGAAAGACATGGGGGAGAGCTCCATGCAATAGGGAAGGATAGAACGACTTGGCATGAGTTGTTTGAGGGCCTTTGCTCCATTAGGGGATAGAAAGGCAGAACAAGAAAGAAGGATCGTGACTCAGTCTTTAAAGAACAAAATCAGAGCTTTTGAACTGGAATGCTACAGAAAAATTCTGAGAATATCATGGTCCAAGAAGAAGAAGGAAAAAATCCAACAGAGTTTCAATGTTGAGGAGAATTGGCTCATAAACAGCATCCTCTCTTGAAAGCTGAGGTATTTGAGTCTTGTTACCTGTCATGGTGGCCTGGAGAGAACAGTGATGGAGGGTACAGTTTCTGGAAAAGGAGGCAGAGACCAGATGACTCAAGACATTACAGATGCATTGACTATGAAAGCATATAGGGCTAAAGAAAAGACTTTTGGGCTGCTGTGATGAGAACAATGTTCTGTGAAGGACATGTTGATTGATGATGAGCCTAGACACCTGTAAGTGCTACACCTAGCACTGCCCTGGTATACCTTGTAGTCCTGTGTGGTTAAGTGATGACAAAGAACATTTTTCAATGGCCTGTTTTTTAACTCAGTTTTCATTCATTTTGTCGTAGTTATTATATTTACATATCCCCTTTGTTATGATGGTTCTCTTGTAAATTAAAATACTTTAATTGTTTGAACTGTTTTAAGTGTTAGTGTGGAGCTGCTGGGGTGTAGCGGCTAGACGCTTGCCTACGGATCTGAAGGTCAGGGGTTCAAATCCAAAGGAAGCCAATCTTATTTAGAAATTGATATTGGCTCCCGGGTCAGCCCACCCTCAAATGAATACTAGGTAGTCCTGAGAATTAAAAGTGAAGGGCAGGATGTTTACCACATCACCTAGTGAGTGCAGATTGGTGGGCAAAATATCGGCCCAGAACTATATACCCAATAAGTCTAAAACCTAGAAAAGAATCCTTTTTACCTGTTGCTAGTCACCGATGCCTCCTTCCTCACTCGTTTGTTTTTAGACCAATCACCACCCATCGTTACCTTTATTCCCCGGGAAATTTCCTGGTACCCATTTACTGGCTGGAAAGATCTTAAATCCACTTTGATGGGGATTCAAACTTATAACCACAAGGCTGGTAGATAAGTATACTTGCTAGCACAGTACAATAGTTCCTGTCTTGTAGTTAGTTGCATATCCTTTACAGGATGTTACAGAACCAACCCCAATATATCTTGACTGTCTGTGATTTTACTAGGCTATTATGCATTCATTAGTTTTGCCATTACTTTCTGAAGAAAACCCCCTAATTAGTCACCTTGTATTACATGCTTCGTTTGGGGTGGGGGGGGGGGGCAGAGTGTCTATTATTTTGTGCCCCAGAACCCATGTGTAGAATTCCCTGAGATTGAACGTTGTATTTGAAAATGCAGAAATTCATATACTACATACATACAATGACAGATGTCCTAACATTTTTTTTTGGGTACTTCTTGCACTCTCCCAGGGTGGAAACATGACAACAGATGCATCGCTTTTATGCCACGAGCTGATCAGAATTGGGACTTACGTTGGCTGGCCTAGTCAAGATCTCCAGGGCAAAGGAAATGTGAAGCCCAGCGTAGTAGATCTTGCAAGAGCTGGCTTCTACTTTACTGGTAGAGGAGACTTTGTTCGATGCTTTGCTTGTGGTATTCAGATTGGAGACTGGGAGCGCCACCATGAGCCATATGTAGTACATGCGACAAGGAACCCACAGTGTCCTTTAGTGATGAAAGCCAACAGTGGAAACAGGCCTGTGTACATACCGCCGGCAAGAGAGTACGCAGCAATAATGTCAATGCTAAATGAAGCGGGTAAAGTTGTGGCGGCAACCAAAAAGGGAACATCGTATTCATCCTCATCCTTGTTATCAAACACGTTAACATCTCTCTATGGAGAGAGTATGATATGCTCGGCTGCCCAGTCAAATGGTACTCACGCTCCTCCTTTAACTAGATCCCATTCTAACTCACCACGGTTAAGTCATTCAACAAGCATTACACATTCCCCAGTTGTGGTTAGGTTACCTGTTATCCCCAGACAGAATAGTTTATCAGCAAACACTCCACCACCGCCAAGAAGGAGCAGCACTACTGATTCAAGTGAAAGCATGACATTCGATACACTAAGGCCACACATCCAAAGAGCCAGATCATATGCCGCCGATCCAAGTTCTGAAAGAAACTCAGAGACTATTGCAAATCGTCAGAACTCCAATCCAGGCTTTGACCATGCAGAATTCCAAGAATCTGAAGAGGCGCGGTTCAAAACTTTCAATGGATGGGCAGGGATTCGAGGAGCGACGGCAAGAGAGTTTGCTCAAGCTGGGTTTATTTACATTGGTCCTCCTGATAGAGTACAATGTGCCTTTTGCAGCGGAATTTTACGAAATTGGAATGATGATGATTCGCCTCTAGAGGAGCATCGAAAACATTTCCCGCAGTGCCCGTTTGTGGTTGAGTCTTTATCTGCAATAACTCTACCGAGGCCCAAACATTCGAAATTCAGGTCAGAGCCGAGCCGTCTAAGTTCTTATCGGGGCTGGAATATGAATAGGAATCCTAAACCAGCAGAATTGGCAAAGGCTGGATTTTTCTATGTTGGTATGTATTTTACCTTTTTATACTTTTGAATGGAAAAAAAAGTGAAACGGGAGGGGGTGTTGAAAGGCTTGGAGCATACATGTACACAGAGAAGGATGAGATAAACACATACACACAGAATTGAGGTTGCCAGATATTGGAAAGATTGGAGTAACCATGTAGAGAGAGAGAGAGAGAGACAGAGAGAGATGTGGTGACATGTAGCCATGTACAGAGAGTTAGGTGTATGCACATACAGAGAGAGAGATAGAGTAGATATACACACAGACATAAGGTAGACATGTACACAGAAAGATGGGGTGGACATATACACAGAGAGAGAGATGAGGTAGGCAGGTAGAGAGAGATTAATTAAACACATACCCATCCCACAGAGAGATGGGGTAGACGGGTACAGAGAGAGAAATGAGGTGGACATATGTGGAGAGATTAGGTGGGCAGATACAAAGAGATTAGGTAAAAGGTACAGAGAGAGAGATAGAGTAGGCAGGTACAAAGAGAAGTGACATAAAGTAACCACATACTTTAGAGAGATAGAGTAAGGTAGAGAATGTGAGAGAGATGAGGTGGACAGATAGAGAGAGAGAGAGGGAGAGATGAAGTAAACACATACACATAGAAATATGGAGTAGACAAGTACACACAGAGAGATGAAGTAAACACATAGAGAGATAGAGTAAGGTACAGAAAGCGAGAGAGAGAGAGAGAGATGAGGTGGACAGATAGAGAGAGATATGAAGTAAACACATACACATAGAAAGATAGAGACGTACACAGAGAGAGAGAGATGAAGTAAAAACATACCCATAGAGAGAGATGGAGTAGGCAGGTACAGAGAGAGAGAGCGATGAAGTAAACACTTGCTGTAGAGAGAAAGAGTAAAGAGAGAGAGAGAAAAATTACATGGACAGATAGAGAGATGGAGTAGACAGAAACAGAGAGATGAAGTTAACATCTACCCAAAGAGAGATGGAGTCGACAGGTATACAGAGAGAGAGATGAGGCGGACAGATACAAAGTTATGAAATTAACACATACCCATAGAGAGATGGGATAGACAGGTAGAGAGAGAGAGAGAGAGGCAAAGTAGACACATAGCCATAGAGAAATGGGATAGACAGGTACAGAGAGAAAGAGAGAGAGGCGAAGTAAACACATAGCCATAGAGACATGGGGTAGACAGGTTAAGAGAGAAAGATGGGGTGGACAGATAAGAGAGATAAAGTAGACAGAGAAAGAAAGATGAAGTAAACACAAATCCATAGAGAGATGTGATAGACAGGTACAGAGAGAGAGATGAAGTAAACACATGAAGAGATGGGGTAGACAGGTTAAGAGAGAGAGATGGGGCGGATAGATACAGAGTGATGATGTAGACAGGGGGTGAGCAATAAAGTAAACACATAAACTTAGAGAGATGGGGTAGACAGATACAGAGATATGATTTAGACAGGGGTGAGCGATAAAGTAAACACTTAGAGAGATGGGGTAGACAGGTTAAGAGAGAGAGATGGGGCGGATAGATACAGAGTGATGATGTAGACAGGGGGTGAGCAATAAAGTAAACACATAAACTTAGAGAGATGGTGTAGACAGATACAGAGATATGATTTAGACAGGGGTGAGCGATAAAGTAAACACTTAGAGAGATGGGGTAGACAGGTTAAGAGAGAGAGATGGGGCGGATAGATACAGAGAGATGATGTAGACAGGGGGTGAGCAATAAAGTAAATACATAAACTTAGAGAGATGGGGTAGACAGGTACAGAGAGATGATGTAGACAGGGGGTGAGCGATAAAGTAAACACTTAGAGAGTTGGGGTAGACAGATACAGAGAGATGATTTAGACAGGGGGTGAGCGATAAAGTAAACACTTAGAGAGATGGGGTAGACAGATACAGAGATATGATTTAGACAGGGGGTGAGCGATAAAGTAAACCCTTAGAGAGATGGGGTAGACAGATACAGAGAGATGATTTAGACAGGGGGTGAGCGATAAAGTAAACACTTAGAGAGATGAGGTAGAGAGGTACAGAGAGATGATTTAGACAGGGGGTGAGCAATAAAGTAAACACTTAGAGAGATGGGGTAGACAGATACAGAGATATGATTTAGACAGGGGGTGAGCGATAAAGTAAACCCTTGGGTTAGACAGATACAGAGAGATGATTTAGACAGGGGGTGAGCGATAAAGTAAACACTTAGAGAGATGGGGTAGACAGATACGTATAAATTTCACTGTCGTTGTAAGTTCATTCAGTGGTCCATAGAGTTTATGTTCCACTGTTGTTCTTTCTGGCCAAAAGGTTTTCCTTAATGTGTCTAATTCGGTGCAGTCCTGGAGTACATGCTCTGCTGTCTGGGGCACCATTCCACAGGTGCACATGGCTGATACACCTGCCTTGAATTTTGTGTACATGATCTTACGTAATCGGTTGTGCCCTGTTCTGACGCAGAGGATAATGACTTGTTCTGGTCTGTCCATAATAAAATAGTCATCTTGTGCTGGGGCTGGTGGTTTCCTGATCAATTAAATAATTCTTTTCTTTTGGTGGTATGTGACTGGTACATCCGGCTGCACTTTTGTCGCATCTTCCCCTTCCAGTTGTTCAGCTTTCTCATTTCCAGGTACTCCACAATGAGATGGTATCCACTGCATTACGACTCTTCGCTGAAGGCTGAGTTGTGTCAGCAGTGTTTGTAATTCTGGTAGGTTCCTAGACTGGAGTGCTTCAAGTACGGATTTAGCATCTGTCAGCATTACCACATACTGTGAGCCAAGATTGGTATTTAGCAGTTTCTCTGTTGATATCTTGATAGCTTGAGTTTCTGCATCATAGTTATGGCAGTACTTCCCGGTTGGTACGCTGGACATATCCCTAGTACCATCTGGGAATTCGATGTACACTCCAGCACCACCATTTCTAACTGCACTTTCTGCGGACGCATCTGTATAGACTCTGACCCATTGTTCTTGTGGGTATTCTTCATCAATATAACTGAATGTGGCCATTCTGCGTTGTACACTATCTTGCTCTTTCTTGTCAAATATCCCTTTCACATTTGTCTGGATTTGTACTGTTGTTTGCATTTTTCTCTCCATGGGGTTTGTTCCGGAATACTTTTAAGCGGGCAACCAATTTCTGGAAGGTCAGTAGTTTATTTACACGCATGGAAATATGTACAGAGAGGTGACAAAGACAGGTATAGAGAAAGAGTGAAGTAGACATTCACACAGAGAGATGCGGACGTAGACACACATAGATGCTGTAGACAAGTACAGAGACAGAAACGGGAGCGGTCGTCAGTGTGTCAAAGCCAACACAGAGACATGATTTTTCACCTATTAGTCAGTCAGTTCTCCTTACGCCTAGTGGCACATGAGACTTCAGAGAGGATTTTCCATGCTTTTCTGTCCTGTGCCATCTTCAATGCAGTTTTCCATGTCAAGGATGCCGCACTCAGGTCACTTTCCATCGTTCGTCTCCATGTTGTTTTTGGGCGCCCCTGTTTTCTCTTTCCCTCTGGTGTCCATGTGAGAGCTGTTTTGGCAGGTATATCAGAAGTCCTTCTCATAACGTGGCCAAGCCATTTCCATCTTCTCTTGGTAATCAGACTGTCTAAAGTTTCTTGGTTTGTGGCTTGAAGTAGTTTAGTGTTTGAGATTGTATCTGGCCAGAAAATTTTGATAATTCTAAGTAGACATTTGTCGTGGAAGTTGGACAGCTTGTGTGCATCCTTTTTGGTCATTCTCCAGCATTCGGCTCCATAAAGAACTGGCAAGGCTTGAAAAAGGAGTAGATAAATGCCTATGAGTGGAACAAGCAGGATTCAGAAAGGGCAGAGGAACAACTGAGCACATCTTCGCCATACGTAACATTTTAGAACAATGCAATGAATGGCAGAAAAGTATATATATTAATTTTGTGGACTTTTAGAAAGCTTTTGACAGCGTCCATAGAGACGGTCTGTGGACAATTTTACAACATTATTTCACCTATTAACCATATTACAAACCCACCAACTGTAAGTCTGTTTTCGGAGATCGCGGAGAGAGCTTGTACAGTGAAGTACCTAGGAGTGGGTTTTGATTGAAGTCTTGCTTTTCACAAGCATGTAGACTAGGCTATTCAGCTGAATTAATTCAGGGGCCAAAGTTTTGAAGATAGGGATCTGGCACTTGGGCCACCAGTTGAATAGCCCAGGTGAAGACAATGTGATAATGAAAGCAAAGTGAGGCTTGGCAGCGGTAAGGATATTGGCTCTAACGAACAGTGAGCAATGTCACCTCATGTTTTTTACACTGGGGCCCTGATTCTTTCTTTAATTGATTATGCTTTGGCGATTCATACTCTGAGGCGTACATAAATGGAGAAGCTAGATCGGATACAGAATGAGGCCATATGCATCATACCTGGATGCACAAAAAAATACAGAATCAGGGCAATGCACTACAGTCTTGATCTTCCAACCATAGAATTGAGAACAGTGATCTGTCGAGCGCCTGCATATCTGCGTGTCAGCGCCGGCACACATCACCCACTGCAAAGGGAGATTTGCAGAAAAAAGGGTAGGATGTTGAAGTAAGAAAATATCTTGGATTGGTCAAGCTGAGGACATTATTCAACATATTTGTTCATTTGAGGACCTAGAGCCTGGTGAGGTCGGGTACGAGTACCAGCTGAGCCGCATACATCCTTTTCAGTCTGGATAACACTGAACATTGACTGCAAAACCCTTTCAAGACATTATTCTTGAGAATTCTGCTGATGGCGGTGCAATTATTTTAACTGATGGATTCCTTATTCATCATGTACACAGCTCATGGGCTTTCACGGTTCTGATTCAAGGAATTACTGACTGTAAAAGAAGACAGCGAGGCTTTTGACTCAACTAAAAGTAGTCTGACTATGGAGGTGATTGTGGTAACAAAAGTAATGATGTGGTTAGATTCATCATTTTTCCCATGTGTGCTTTCTAAGCTATTTTGTGAGCATGC